ATGGTTCTCCCAACACACAGACATTTCCTTCATGGCTCAGTTCAGCAGGTACCCTTCTCGTGGGGACAGGGAGGAGAAGGAATAAATCAATCCCTGCCTCTTCATCTCTTAATTTCTCATTACCAGGATTGATGATGAGCGTCTGCYTTGGGTTTATGAGCTCAGCCAATGATCAGTGGCACTTTGAGGGCTGGGGTTCATTAATTATAAAGGCTGGGCTACAGTTAATTTATTTCTTTGCAAGGGAACAGAAAAAATCAGATTATGAAGGGAATGATGACTTAACTTTGGCAGAAGCAGCAGGATTTTGTTTTTCAGCACAGGTGATAACACACCATCGGTTTAAGGCCTGTTTGCATCCAGTTTCATTAGGCTGAAACCTCATTTTCAGCTTTTTTTCATTATAAAAATCAGATCAATTAGAAAATGAGAGAATATTTTGTGCCAAGGATAATGCTTAACACAGAGGTATTTTAAGACAAATCCTGTCTTTTCCAAAGGCTGAAGAAAAAAAATAAAAATCTGTGAACTATTTGGATGTCTTCAGATTATACCCCAATAATGGACGGTGAAAAGGAACAAAATGCAAGAGCACGCCTGAGAATGAAAATGAACTTTTCTGGTTCATGAAGAACCATTTTCTGGTTCATGTAGAACTTCCAGTGAAAAGGATGGCAGCTGCTCCCATCCCAGCCAGGACATCTCCACCTCCCCTCCCCTCTCTCTTTCATCGCTCTGTTCCAGGGTCACAACACCTCGAGAAAAGAGATTTTTCTCCCTCCCACAAGGACAAGTTGTTCTTCCCTCCCCACCCCCAGTTTCACTGAGGTTCTGTGATTTCCACACCAACTCAGCAGAGAGCAGCAAACTTTCCCCAGCRCCGCCAGGACAGAGCCCAGCGATCCCCAGGGACGGGGACACTCTCTGGTGACACACAAAAATCATTTGGAGCATATGGGATCCACGGTGCTTTTTCAAAATTAGCCCGCTTGTTTTATTCCAAATTAAGATTTGATCTAATTTTGGCGCAAGAATTGCCACCTCAAAAAAAAATAGAGAGTGCTAAAAATGATCAGAATCCTGCAAGGCTCTCTCAGTGGTCTGTCTCTGCAGGTTCAGTGTGCCATAATCACTCCTTTTTATTTTAAAGCTCACATGATTGTGGGGGTGGAACTTGATAGAAATGTCTCTGGTGCATTAAACACATGATAGCTCATGTGAAAAAACAGATTATCAGTAATTCCTAGGCATTCTTCACCCCCTAAACCCAAATATCAACGCGTTTACACGCATTTTAAAGATTGACACAACAGGGTTTTGCCAAGGGGAGACACAAGCTGAGTAGGAAATAATAAAACTCAAATTGCACAAAACTCAATATAACCCTAACAACTGGGAAATGAGTGCTGTTGGAATTGTGCCAGCTTCAATTTGGGGAGTTGGACTGGGTTTTTATGGGGAAAATCAGCACCCAGGGGTTGCTGCAGCTCCTGCAGTCACTGYGCCCTATCCACGAGATTTCTTTTTACTACTGGGAATAACTGAGCTGAGAGCTCTCCTCTTACAGCACCACAGCCTAATTGTTCTGCAGCGCTAACTTGTGAAAAATCAGGGGTATTTTTAGGTTGATCATTTATAGACATTTCCTAACTCTCAGCAGAACTCTGCTCGGTGCTTAACTCCTACCAGCATCACCTGTGTTTTATTATTTATTGCACAGGAAATGGCTAGAAGGGAAAATAGAAAGTCTAACTTTTACGAGACAGTTACTCAGCATTGGGAAAATAAAAAATACATATTATATAAATAAAAAGCTTTTAAAAGCTATGAATTTTCAGAGCTCGGAGACCGCAAGAAAAAATTAAATCTCACTCGTGGGGTCTCAGGCACGAGAGGAGGGGAGAGGCTGAAGGGCTGCAGTGGAAGATGTGAAAAAATGTTCTTTTGGAGTCACACAGGGTGCAGGCAGTCACCCACCATGGATATCCCACCCTGGGGTGCTCAGGGAGAGGATTCCCACAGCTCCTTTCACTGCAGGGAAAATCCTGTGTGAAGGACACAGAGGCAGCGTGGACACTGCAGGGAAAGGGGAAAGGGTGGCAATCACCAGGAGTTATMAAAGTTCATCAACCTGCTCCTCTGTGATTGAATTTGATTTGCTGAGGATGGTGCACTGGAGCTAAAAGCTGTTGCAGCTGCAATAAAAGGAGCCTGTGCTCTAATTTAGGAACGGGAGGTACAAGTGTTTTCTCGGGGGATGATTAATTCTAACACATTCCACCACAAGAACTGCTTTCAAGAAACCTGTGAGGCTGCTCCCTGCCACTCAAAAACAAGCACTGAGGTGAGCAGGGCCACAAAATCCTCTGGAATGGRCAATTCCAGGAAAATCTGTGACCATGAGCCCCCTCCCAATGCTGGGGATGTATTCAGTACATACAGAGCCCTTTGGGGCATTTTCCTTTAACTCCTCTGCTTTCCATTAAAAGGAATCTCACCCCAGGACTGATTCTGTTCAAACTGAAATTTCACTGTCAGCAGAACCATGCTTTGTGGTGAGTATTTGCAAGGACTGCCTCGTTTATATTATAATTATTTGCATTAAAAGTACAGGGCGCAATAATTCAACATTATTCTGATACACAATAATTATTGTTATGTAATTATTATAATCACTGCTCTGGAAAATTAATTTTATTAATGACAGTATTACTCTTACAATTAGTGSAAAGGCTACACCGGAGCATTTGAGTACACAAATTAATTGTGCACCTGCACAAAGCCATTTAGAAAAGGATGTTTTAGTATTTAAAAATCTGCCAAATGTTATGATAAGCTCTATAGCACACTACATTACAGAACAAAGCAGTTGGGATAGGAATAAGTTGCTGAATTRTAAAAGGGTTGAAATTATAGTCAAACATTTCAGTAAATTAATGTATAATATTCTACAATCCTCTTTTTGTAATCGTGCCCGCTAATGTAGCACAATTTTAATAAAACGTATTTATTTTCTGCTTGCTTTTAATCTTCAAAGTGTTTTTGAGCTATGGCTGCTGCGTAAATATTGAAAATGATCATTTGGTAACCCAAATACAGAAACGAGGCATTAGGCTGATTTATTTAATCACCAAGGCCAAAAAAACCCAAATCACAAAATGCAGTCAGCAAAATGAAAGACAATTAACAACCTGTCAGAGAACAGATTCTGTCACCATGAAACGATTCTCAATAAAATGAAATGGTCTCACACTCCAATGTGTGTTCTCATTTCTGAGCTTCATGTGAACAACCCCAAAGGATCCTCTTATTAAAAAAAAATAACAATCAAGAACAATTTCTAGAGCTAAACAATTCATTGTGGACACAGCAGAGCTACTTTAAATGTCACCACTAAAACTGCCAATCAAGGATAACTTCTCTTAACTTCCCACATCCCAGCTGGGCATGGAATTCAAACTGGATTTGGGTTATTTCCTTATTTTGGGTTATTTCCTYGTGGTTTTAGGGCTGACCAAACCACATCAGTCATGTATTGCTTGAAGATAAGAACTACTTTAAGAGGATGAGGAATTAGGTAATTATTCTTGAATTTTTCTGATTTTTGCTGAAATTGGGGTCCCTTTGGGCTCAAAGGGGATTTTGCCACCAATGATGCTCAGGGATGGGAACATCCCCCAGCCAGGGCTGCTCTGGGTCTCAGCCTTTCTGCAGCTCCAAACTCACAATTCCCAAATTCCTAAAGGCTGTTTTGACTGTGAAACTCCAGGTACAGAGCCAACTGCCCCAATTCAAAGCTTTAAAGARCCAGGAATTATCAGAAAAGTAAAATTTTGGTTTCTTGCTCTTTTCCTTAATGACTGTTTTCATAGCAAAGTCTGTATCAGCCAAACACGAGACAYTGAGCAGGGTAATTACACTCCTCTAACTTCAGCATTTTCCTTCTGCACCTAAATACAGATTACGTGAAATGCTTCAAAATTAYACTTTCAAAAAATTCCTCTCAGTTCTTCAACATTTAAATTTAAAAATGAGAGAACTTTTTAGTATCTGAAATTTTYCAAGACCCCTTTGTGGCTTCTGCTYGCTGCCCTGCTGCCTGGCATATTGAAACAATTCCTGAGAAGCTCATTAAAACMTCACAAGAAAATTCTTCTGGTGCATTTTACCAGAGCAGATAATAGCCCACAATCTAGAGCATGAATATGTTATAAAAAAACAAAACAGTGCCATTGAGACAAAGAACACTTGGAATGCATTGTTCCCATAAGCAGATGTTAAATTACTTCACTGTAAAGTGGGATTTATAAAATGCAGAGAAATGTTATTTTTGTGTGAACAAATGAGATGAGTTTGTTATTTCAGCRGGGTGACACAAAGACCCTGCACATGTGGCTCAGCACACAGGCAGATGTTTGAGAGGAAAAATTGGTTGTTGACCAAAAAAATRCGAAATTTCTGCAGAAGAATGGACAGAGCAGGAGGGAATGGGTGGATCCAGACTGCTAGACTAGCTCAAACATGAAAATAAAATAAAAACCCAATCAGCCAGCTGGCTCAAGATTAACCTGTCATTTCATCAGAGCTGCAGATCCTTGTGTGCAGTGAGACAAGGACCAGAGACAGCTCAAAAGGTGCACTTTGAGATAAGAGAGATACAAAGAAAGCTCAGAAAAAGCTTCAGCCTTTCTGGGAATTGTTAATATCAAATGCATCCGGCATGAAGCAAAGGAAAATAAAAAAAATGCTGACTCCATGGTTGGGTAAACCCCTCAGGGCTGTCACGTTCTGAGGATATTGTTCTTGCTCACACACTCAATCTCACTTTTCTTATCAAAACCAGATCTCTCAGTCCATAAATATTCGCTCCARAAGTGTTAAAACCCACTTGGAGTCAATGACCTGTGATGAAAATCCTATTGATCCTGTTTGTGATCCATTCCCAAGGGTGTAACAACACAAACCTGGTAAAGCAGTGCATTAAATGTTGATTTACTCACATCAGTGTCGGGCCCCTTGTCAGCCCCAGGACAGGAGAAGGTGACGAACTCATGGCACCTCTTATGAACCACAAAACAGCAAACTGGCAAAAAAAAAAGGGAAAAAAATGGTTAGAATAGCACAGATTTAGTGGTGGTTTTATTTTGTTTGAGTTTTTTTTGTTTGGGTTTTTTTTTTGTTTGGTTGGTTTTTTGTTGTCGTTTGATTGGTTGGGTTTTTTGGTTTTGTTTGTTTGGGATTATTTTTTTTTAAATAACAAATATAATCACAGAGGAAACAAAACTTACAGTCAAGTATTTCACCTCCAAATTGATAAAAGAAAGCAGAGCYSCTTAAAGTTAAATAAAAACASRASACATCAAGCACAYGCTGTGATGAAAGAGGAGATGAGCATTCACATTTAAAAACCAAGAGATTTCACATAAAGATAAATCTTTAATGCTGGAGGCAGCCCACAGTGCTCAGATCCAGATAACCAATTCCACAGGTCCCATTTCCCAAACCCCTCTCTGCCAGAGGAACCGTGCATCCAGCAGGAACAGAAGTGAGGAATGGGAATGAAAACCCATTTTGGGGTGTGGGATTTGCTGCCCTGCACGCATCCAGCAGGAGCAGAAGTGAGGAATGGGAATGAAAACCCATTTTTGGGTGTGGATTTAATCCCCTGCACGTCCTGGGGAAGGTTTGCACCAGGACACCGAGGACATGGAGCCTTTCCCCGTTAATCACCTCCAGGAGCTCTGAGCAAAGCCTGGGGTGGAGAACAAAGTGTTCCCATCTCMCAGGGTGGCAGGAGATAATGGGAAAAGAAAATTAGCTCCTGATGGCAGCAGGAATCCCATTTAAAATTTATGAATGGTCTGAAAGAACTTTTTCCTTTTCCTGAGAAGAGAAGAAATCCTGCAGTGGGATTGAGGCCGTGGGTTGGCACAGAGCACAGGACACACAGGTCCCTCCAAAACCCATAAAAAGAACAATTTGCTCAAGGGTGCTGACTTTAGGAGTCAGAATTTCAGCTTTTTACCCCCCTCAAAATTTCAGCTTCTTTCATGATATTAAACTTAGTTCAGATGGTTTGGAATTGGTCCACATTTCAACGAAACAGACAATCAAGATCTGAGATTGAAAAAAAATCTTGTAATAAACACTGTGCCATCAAGCAGTGAGTCAGGAGACTCTAATGAAATTATTTAAATGTAATTCACAGTTTGTTCAGAGATAATGCGTTCTCTGTATACTTGAAATTTTGCATTTCCAACACAGAAAAAGACACTGTTTCCCAAATCTAAAGAATAAAATAGATTTGAATGGCTTAACAACTGTGAACATTGAATTTCCTCAACTTCAGGGAAAACCATATTAAATCATCTAAATTGTTCTGAAGAGCTCATTGCACGAGGCAATTTTCAACTGTTCCCTTTCCCATTTAAAACACAAATGAATTTATTTCATAAATAAATATCAAAAACCAGGTGCACYTGAAAGTCACTGCAGACACAGCCATGACCCCATTAATGCCAGGCTGCCTCATTCCCACCCCAAAGTCACCCATCTGCCTTCAAAGAGGTTTAATCCCTTTTCCCTCTCTTTCCCCAGCTATTTTTCACCAATCTCAGGCAGGAATTGTTCCCATTTCTATTCTATTTCTGACCTGGCCCCATTTATTCTTTGGGAAAACAGAATAAAGGGGTCTTTGCTGCACTGATTCCACACCAGCWCTGCTGACCCCACCTGAACCACAGATCTATCTCAGGGTCTGCTGCCCCCTGAAATCCATCTGACAGCCATCATTTCCCTACACAATATTTAAAATCCAATTTTTGCCACGTTGAAACCCATTAGARCATATTTCAACGTCAGTTTTTCGCGTTTTCTTTACTTCACAAAGCGACGCGGATCTGGAGAACTCATGTAAAAATTCACTCGGTTCAGCTAAGTGCAAACAAAGTGTCATCTGCTTAAAATAACGTGTCAAAATTTATTTTTTTTTTTAGGAAYGGAGACGAAAAATAAACCTCTCACTTGTTACTTGTTTTGAAAAGATGTTAAGAGCTTCCCATCACTTATTGCAGCTGTTAAGAAGTCACATTATGCTCGCCACCTTCGTGTAATGGAAGTTGGATTGCACTGCTCTGCACAGGCTGCCAGGAAATTCGTATTTTTGCATTTTACCCTGAGCTGAAGTGAGCTGGCAGAGCAGCTCGAGAGCAAAGTGGCATCTCGAGGCTGACAGCTACAATTAAAACGGGAATTATTGAGGTATTTTCGTGTTTTGGTGGCGTGGTTTTGATCTGTGGTGTGTATATAGAAGGTGGCTGGGAGCAAAGTGGCGTTTCAAGGTTGACAGCTACAATTAAAACGGGAATTATTGAGGTATTTTCGTGTTTTGGTGGCGTGGTTTTGATCTGTGGTGTGTGTATAGAAGGTGGTTGGGAGCAAAGTGGCATTTCAAGGTTGACAGCTACAATTAAAAAGGGAATCATTGAGGTATTTTCGTGTTTTGGTGGCGTGGTTTTGATCTGTGGTGTGTGTATATAATGTGGCTGGGAGCTCTGGACCTGCTGGAACCRGGGAGGGGAGCAGGGAGGGATGGAGGGAACAAAACCCTCCTTGTGCCTAAAAAACCATCCTGGCTGCTCGCTGGCTGCTGGCACATGGCATCTCCAGGGCTGTGCCTGCCCTGTGCCCTCCCAGAGAGCAGAAAATGCCAACTGGGCAGAGCAAAACCAAGGAGAACCTGGTGAAGAGCTCCAAGGAATGCTTGGTTCTCACAGCAAATTCTCAATTCTCACAGCAAACAGGTTGAAAGTGTTCAACCTGGCTTGTTGGATTTATGGGATATCATGGGGGCTAATCCATCCTGCCCAGCACTCCTCTGACCATAATAGAACTGAGAAAAACACGTTGTTATTAATAAAACATCCATTTATTGCTGTCACTTAAGAGTTACGAGGCTCCACTGTAAATTTCCAGCTTTATTCCGAATTATGTGAAGTGGAGAGATTGTGCTGATCTATTGCTGGGGGAGAGTTCTCTGCTAAAAAATGCTGCTGCTAATGGCTTTCATGTATGACACAGATGGATGAGCCCAGAGTGGAGGATTGCAATCATAAATAACAGAAATAGAAGCAATCTTCCCTATTAGATGATCTATAAAGAAGAAGAGCCATTGCTGAGCCCACACATCACTCAGCCATATGTCTGAAGAGCTCCACAAGCATTCCAAGGAACAAGGGGTAAAAAAATATCAAAAGTCACATGCTTTACAATTGAGAATTATTTAAAAAGGTCAGCGGATTTATTTGTTTTAAAATCACTTGTAAACTCCCACTTTTGGAAGAAAAAGAACAGGTTAGATGGAGCTTTTCCATTAGATATAAATAGCTCTACTACACCACGGCYTTTATTTATTTAGTAAAACAAATTAAGCTGCAAAACCTAAAGGGTGGAGAGGATATAATTCTCAGAGAGTCCGACTGACAGAGAAATCAGGCCTTTTCAAATCATCTGTGACTCATTTTTGTAATCATATAATTATTAAGGTTGGAAAAGAGCACCAAGACCATCAAATGCAACCTTTGAACAAACACCACCCCTCCCACTGGGCCACATCCCAAAGTGCCCATGCTCAAGACTATTCAAATGATGAATTTATAACACCTCACCCARTGTAAAAATCCCATATCTTCCCATCTAAACCGACCCCAAAGTTGTGTCCCCACTGCCCTGGCATTATCAGGTGCCCCACACCAAAAGGAAAATGATTTATTCCCAGATTTCAAGCTCTGATTMTTCCAAAGGAAGCAGCCTTGGAGCTCTCAGAGGCAGCAGCAGGGAAATAACTCTGTGCACACTCAGAATTTGCTGCTGGGTTCCTGCTTTTGGCTCTGAAATAAGTCAGTAAGTGATAATAAGCCAAATAAGTGATTCTGCACTAGATAAAGGAGTTATCCCAGAAGCACCACAAGCACAAACTCCTCTCTCTGGTTTACTTTTACTCTGCTTTAGGATCTGCACAGGAGRTGGAAGCACAAAATCCTCRTTTTGTTGCTGTTTCACCYAYTCTGCATTCCCACCAARRCCCCAGGATTTCCCCCAAATCYCACAGCAGCGGCTGCCCCGAGCTCTCTGCACAACCCCAAAAAATGAATGAATGAATGATCGTGGCCATGGCATGTGTGAGATCATCCTGAGAGCAAATACAGCAATTACAGCCAACAGAGATGGGGTGGCCCTTCAAAACAGACAAATCAGTTAAATTCCRACTGTGTTTGTTATTTGAATAAGTGCTGTTTAAATAAATTTACTAGGGGTAGATAAACAAGAAGAGCAGCAATTAAGATATAGGATAYAGCAGTATTTGCCTTTCTCCTCTTCTGAACATATTATAACTTGTAAAATTATAATGAAAATCCTTTTTATATTAAAAATCAACGAGGCTGTGGATTACAGAGCAAACACAAGGCACAAGCAGCTCTGCTTTTGACTTCTGCTGACACACYGAATCCGCTGAGAATTTTTACAAATTAAATTTCCCTAACTTTTCCAACATATATCATTTATAACACGCCAGCTTGCTTTTCTGTCAGTGTTTCACCCCATCACGAAGGCAGAGCTGTCTCACAAGAGTGGCCAGGCTTACACTTAGAACTGCTCCATGCAACCTTTCCACATTTCCCATTTTCTGACTCAGCCAGCCTGGCTGTTGCAGCTGGGATGGTTCAGAAGGAGCAGAGCCCTCTCTGCCCATCCCCTTCTCCTCTTCTAAGCTTCTCAAAGCTCTTTTGTCACCCCACGAGGTCACTCAGCTCCTTCACAGCACTAATCTGGGCAGTGCTACACATCCCCTGTCTCATGGGTTACCTTTATTTTCATTGTGGTTTCTGAAAAAACTTCAACCACCTTCTCAAAAACCCACCCTGGAGCCAAGGTAGAGAAATACATGGAYTCAATATTGATAAATTAGGGCTGATTCTTCTTTCTAAAGCTCAGCTCTYCCTGCTAATAATTGCTCTGCCTAATCTCAGGTTCATACCTCTGACCTTGCTGCAGGTTTTGTGTTTGGTCAAGTTCAACTGGGCT